CCAATCAAAGGTGCGAGGTCTTCCTTAAGCAGCAAGAAAATGTGGGGCGTTTTACAGGAGAAAACCAGCAACCTGGGCTATAGCAGAAGAGCGCTAATCAACTTAAGTCCACCGTCCATGGTGGTTCAGAAGCCAGACTACCTTAACGATTTCACCCATGAAATCCCCAACATCCAGACGGACTCCTATGAAAGTATGGCGAAAAGCACCTCAACTGGGGGCCTACCCAGGGACCCCCAAGAACTCCTGGTCGACAACCCCCTCAATCAGCTCTCCACTCTCGCAGGGCAGTTGTCCAGCCTGCCCCCTGAAAACCAGAACCCCGCGTCCCCCGACGTAGTGCCCTGGCCGGATGAGAAGCCTTTCCTGCTGCAGCAGCCCTCGGCCCAGGCAGTGGTTTCTGCCGTGGCCGCAAGTATTCCTCGGAGCGCCTCTCCCACCAGCCCCGAGCCTCGGCCGCCCCAGAGCCAGAGGAACTACAGTCCCGTGGCTGGTCCAAGCAGCGAACCCAGTGCCCACACAAGCACCCCGAGCATAGGAAACAGCCAGCCGAGCACGCCCGCCCCGACCCTGCCGGCCCAGGACCCGCAGCTCCTGCACCACTGCCAGCACTGTGACATGTACTTTGCCGACAACATCCTCTACACCATTCACATGGGATGTCACGGGTATGAGAACCCTTTCCAGTGCAACATCTGCGGATGCAAATGTAAAAACAAGTACGACTTCGCCTGTCACTTTGCAAGAGGGCAGCATAACCAGCACTGACCGGAGCAGTCACATTGCTCTGTCCTTGGTTTTGACTTTGTGCATTTTTTAGTTTTGTGTATTGTTGGTTTTTGTTGGTAGGGGGAGGACCCATCCCTAATATGCTAATTTAAAGTTTATACATTATATTTATAGAAAACAAAGTTGACAATAGAAACAAATGTTTTCCTTTTTTTTTCCATAAAAGTTTGGTCAGGGTCATTTATATATTAGAACAATTAGACACATTGGTGTCTGTTTTTTCCTTTTATTTAGACTTTGATGATTGAAGTGCAATCTTAATCTTACAGGTATTCATTTAAACTCCCACAGTTAAGGTCCATGTAGACTTCAAAGCTTGATCCTAGTGGTGTTTCACTACATACGCAGCTAGATGTCATTTCTGCCATATTTAAAAATGGTAGAATAAATTACTTTCTCACAAACTTTGTTACAACTTATTTCCATGTTTAGCAGAGGAATTGCCTTTAAAATTGCTCTTTAGATAGTTGAAATACTATCTAGTTCACTTAGTTTAAGTTGAATTGATAGTTTCAACTGATAGAAGTAAAGCTATTTCAGTATATAGTAAACCTTTTTCTTTTTTTCCATAAGGGGGGATGTAAAACAGTTTATTCTTTTAAAATTAAAAATTTGAGAGGAATGTTCTGAAATGAAATGAAACAAGGCTTTACATTGAAAATGGGGTTTAATATTTGAAAACCTGTTTATTCAATCTCTTGTTTAAAAATGCATCAATTTTCCATTGGATTCATTTTATTATGCTTGTAGTTTATTTTTAAAAACCACAAGTAAATACATGAGAATGCTGGAAATGTCAGGTGATTACCTATGAAGATGCCTTTTTTGTTCTTTTAGTTTGAACCTTGTATTTAAATGCTTTATTCTGACATCATTACTGTCAGGTGAGCTTGACAAGGACATTGAGTGTCTGTTCTCCCTCCTGTTCCTTTGATGACCAAAGAGGTAAGTGACAGTCCCATCTGGTTCCCGGAAACAGTCCTTCACGAAATTCCGCGTCCTGTTTCCTGCCTCCGGCCTTGCACCCATTTGTTGTCCATAATTTCTCAAATGTGTGTATAGGAACACATGGGAAATGGGATGGTGAAGTATATTTTTAAAAATGAAACATACATCCAAATCTAATTCTTCTCCTCTTCAGAATTGGCCCCCTAGAACACTTAGTGTGACTTCAAGTTGTGATGCTCATTGCAGTTGTACCAGTCTTTCCTGCGTGGCGACAGAGCCATGGAAGCTGACTGCCTCGACACCTAGTGGGAAAGGACTTATGTGAAAGTAGTAGATAACAGATGCATACAGACAGATTTAACTTGTTTACAGAAATAAGACGTGCTAATTAATCTAGAGGAATTTTGAATAGGAGGCTGCTGTTGATATGTTGTGTAATAACTTGCTTACCCTGAAGAGCGCTTGGTCAAACAATAAACTTACTGTTTCTAACTGTTGGTTTTTGTGTGTTTTGCAAGCATTTTACTTTTAATTTGGTTTAAAGCTTGAAGTGTTACTCATCGGGTCTGTAAAGAGAACACCCTAACGATTGAGCATTTATTAACCAAAAAGGACCACTACTCCTAAAAGGGAGATGTTGAAGGCTTCTGTCCACAAAAGCCCTATGTGCCAAGTGAATGGATCTTCTGGCCCCAAAGGCTAGGAAGCCTTTCAAAGGAGTTCTTGTGGGTGAATGTTCCATCTCAGCTCCTCTCAGTTGCACTGCTCAAAGCAGCAGCATCTCGGAGGGTTTCTCCAACTCGACCTCTTCCCTCAAAGCTGAGGCTCCTGCGGCCAAAACCTAGTCCTGCTTCGCTCCGTCGCTTTGACCACTCAGACCAGGGTCCGTGCCGCCATTTCCAGATGCATAACTTCGCCCCTTTCATTTATTCCCACAAAGCACGAGGTTGCTGTCATTTGGAAGCTTTTATTTTCCCCCCTCACTTTTATTCAAATAAAAGTAATATACAAAATAGAAAATGCAGGTTTTCGTGAAATAAAAAGAACTCTTGTTAAGACCAGTTTATTAACTGCATTCTGGGCCAGATAGTGACAAATATATTTTTTCTGACAACTAAAGATAGATGTTTTGAAGGTGCATTTTACTTTCAATGTAGACATTTTTTCATAATTACAAACTCGAATGTATGACTCTTTTCCCTGAGACTCAGCGCAGTTGGTGTAACGAAGGCCTGATGCCTGGAAGTCAGTTACTGCTCAATGCACGCAAGTCCTTGAAGTGAATCTGCCTTAGGTGCTCCGTAGTGTTTTGTTTTTGAGAAGATTTAGGGTTTCACTTAAATCTGCGTTAAATGTATCTTCCATTAAGTATTGAGTATATTTATCCCATTTTATATTTAATCCTGTTTTATAGAAATGAGGTGTTGGGAAAGTTTAACATGCAATGTTTATAGTATTTTGCTGTTAACAGGCAATGAATGTTATGAATTTATTTTTGTTCAGTGAACATAAGTTTAGATTTTTTAAGTTGGTAGATAATTTATCTCCACTAATATTTTTTTAAGAAACTGAAAAAATTAATATGGAATAACTTTATTTCAGATTTTACTAATGTAGTATGTAGCTACAACTTCTTAAAATTCAAGTAAAGGCTAGACTTCTACATTGAAAAAATTCTATTGGCTATTTTCCAGTGCTATTTCATTTTAGAAAAACGTGTTTGCCATTCATCTGCAGAACTGTTTGATAAAGGGAATATTGCTAAATAAATGTTCAGAAATAAACCTCATTTTAAGTTCTACAAAAATATTTATCAAATGGCTGTATTATTTTTAAAAATTCCCTACTAAGGATTTTTTCACTAAGTAGTTTTAGAGGGTATATGATTTCTAGAACATGTTTTTGTATGAAAGGTAGATGAAAGGTAGACCTATTTTCTACAATGTCTCCAAGTTCCATCTTATTCTAACCACTTGTTTGCATGTAACTAACATTTTTCTATATCATGTTGGTTTTTTCTCTTTAATGCTCAGGAGCCCAGGTATAGGGGACAGTTAGGTTCAGGGCCTCAGGTCTGGTAGGATTAATATGTACTTTGATGTAAAGAACAGTATGCAAAACAAGTATGATTGCAAAAACTTGTCTAGGGATTCCAGAAAGAGATCAATGCTGAAATACCATGCCCAGTGTGTAGTTCATGTTGTGCAAGAAGCTTTGCCTCTGTAATATGTGAATAGAAAGTAACACTTCCTAAAACAAAAACAAACCAGATTCTTTGGTCCCACCAACTTAGGTTTGCAGTGGGACCAGGGCTGTGTATTTTCCAAAAGTGCCACCCTATCCCCGCCCCAAGGATTTCTTAACATTTTCTCTCTGTTCTTCATGATAGACATTTAAAGGAGTAAAGTGAAGGAGGGCTGGCATGTGTTCATAACAAAATAATTTCATTAAGGACACCTTGGAAAATACAGACTGGAAAAGGAATACTTATGCATAGAAGATATACAGATGGCAAATAAGCATATTCCTTATCAGCATCATCAGGGAAATGCAAACTAAAACACACCTATATGAATGGCCAACACCAAATGCTGGTGAGGATGTGTAGCAACAGGAACTCTCATTCATTGCTGGTGGGAATGCAAAATGGTAAGGCCACTTCGGAAGATAGTTTGGCAGTTTCTTACAAAACCAACATACTCATGATTTAGTAATCATACCCTTGGTGTTAATCCAAAGCATATAAACCTGCACACAGATATTTCTAGCAGCTTTATTGCCAAAAACGACAGACAATAATATTCCAATGTTTTCAGCACAAAAATGTGCTATCAAGCCATGAGAAGACAGAAGAATCTTAAGTGCATATGACTAAGTGAAAGAAACCAATCTGAAAGGGTTACATGCTGTATGATTCCAACTATATGACATTATGGAAAAGGCAAAACTATAGATAGATAGTAACACTATCAGTAGTTGCCAGGGGCTCTGGGGAGGGGGTGAGAGGTATGAATAGGTGCAGCACAGGTGACTTAAAAAAAAATTGTTTTTTATTCATTTGAGAGAGGGAGAGAGAGATAGAAGCATCAATAAGCATCATTGATTGGCTGCCTCCTGCACGCCCCCTACTGGGGACCGGGATCGAGCCCGCAACCCGCGCGTGTGCCCTTGACCAGAATCGAAACCGACCCTTCAGTCCGCAGGTTGACGCTCTATCCACTGAGCCAAACCGGCTAGGGCCACAGGTGACTTTTTAGGGCAGTGAAAATACTGTATACTATAATGGTGGGTACATGTTACTATATATTTGCCCATGCCCATAGAATGTACAATACTAAGCGTGAACCCTAATGTCAACTATGGACTTTGGCTAATAGTGATGTGTCAAGGTAGGCTTGTGACACATCACAAACATCAGTTGTAAATATACTCCTCTGGTTGGGGGATGTGCATGTGTGCAGGTGGGGGAAATGGAAAATCTCCTTATCTTAATTTTGCTATGAGCCTAAAACTGCTCTAAACATTCTAAGTCTTAAAAACAAAAAACAGAAGGGAGCATTTGAGATCGTTTCCCAGCATGTCATTAGTTTGGCTCAAAGAAATTCATAAAAAAAACACACACACACAAAAACAGAACACCTACTTTTAAGAATTGTCTAGATATAAGAATCACCTGGTGCTACAAAATCTTTTACTTGGCTAGAGGATGGAATTAGAAAACCTTAAAACCCCAGAAAATTGTCACATAAACCACATGATCTGATTATGTTTCTTTGCCCTATGCAAAACAGCACTTAAATCTTCACCTCTGAGTAAGTGAAACAAGTCTACCTGAACACCTTCCCACAGAACCTAGTCTCCATGGAAAATGTTTCAATTAAGCTAAACCCCTACAACACACACTTCTATTCATTTATAAAAGCCTATAAGGACAGTGAACCTACAAATTTTTTTTTGTAAATTAGAGGCTTTCATGATTTAAAAAGTTAACATTAGTTTAATTTGTGGGGCTAAAAAGCAACAACTGTCTCAACTTGACTTGCCAAGAACCATCTCAAGTTTTATTCTTTGTTTCTGAACCAGGTGATCTTCGGATGCATGTCTCATGCTGACCTTCCCATACTACAGTGAACCCATCACTTCCTACTAGTGATGTGTACCCCAACTCATATCCACTGAAAAGCTGTGCACCTGAGAAGTCGGCATATATTTAACAATCACCCAAATTTAACAGTCTCCATTTCCAGGTTCCCTATCATAGAGGTGCCAAATCTAAGCAACTCTTTATAGGGTGAGGAGTAATCTGGAAGAAGACTGGAAGGCTGAAGGAGGTTAAGTATTTTCTTGCCTCAAGAAGGCAGGATTCAATTTGGTGCCTTTATAAATGAAGCCATGTCAATTTTTCTCACCAAATATATGCTAACTCAGTGGTTTATAACCTTGGCCAACCACCACCTAAGACCCATCGAGATATACCAGCTTCGCATGATGGGCCAAGAAACCTGAGATGTTCCATAAATTCCACATTTGATTTGCATGCAGGGAGCCCATCACTGACTTGAAGACAAGCTTCGGAAATGTTTGCACAAACTGCTGTTCTGGAGCCAGAGAAGGAAAAGGTCATATCACAGGCATGCAAGTAAAACTAACAAGATACGGAATAGTTTACTCAGAAGCAAATGTTACACTTTAATAAAAGCACTGTAATTTCTATTATATTACCTAATAATACATGAAAGAACAATTTAAAAAATGGATTATTCAAACTACTGGTTCTTACACCCACAAACATACATCAGAATCACTGGTGAGGTTTTAAGTCCAGGTCTCAATATTGGAGAAAGAAGGCTGTGACAGGGGTCAGGACCCGGGTATTTGTCAAAAGCTTTCCAGGCAGCTCTGATGTTTCCTCCTGGCCAAGTCACTGACTTTAGGTCGGCTGGGGCACTTTGGGTTTTTAGGGCCACTGTTTGGGGGTGTGGGAAGCTTTTCTTGCAGATTTATTAGCTGTAGTGAAGAACTTGGCCTCTGGCTTTTTGGGCGTCTGTCTTGGGTCTTTTTTCCCCAAAGGAGAGTTTCTTTGCTTCTCCACTTCTTCTTTGACTCTTGGCTTCTTCCCTGGGCCTTTACCTGGGGTCTTGGGCTCTGGTGCTTTCGGCATCTCCAAAGCTGGAAAGGCCTTTCTCTTCTTCCCACGAGGTGGGTTGGAACCAGGACTCTTTACTGGAGAGTTCTCTCCTGTGGCATGTTTTTGCATCTAAATAAAGAAGAAAGTTAGGTTTTTCTGGGCCCATAAAGACAACAGCTCAGAAGATACTTGGTCTTGATCAACACCCCTCTTTCTCTCTATAAACCTGGCTTCCACCTCTGACCATTAATCTCCTTACTAGCCAATATTTTCCTGTCTCCATTTCTTCCCCTGCTTCACTTCCTCTTCTCGACCTCACAACCCAGTCTTCACCACATTCTGCTGAATCTGCTGCTTTTTGTTTTTAAATATATTTTATTGACTTTTTTACAGAGAGGAAGGGATAGGGATAGAGAGTTAGAAACATCGATCAGCTGCCTCCTGCACACCCCCCATGGGGATGTGACCAAGGTACATGCCCTTGACCGGAATCGAACCTGGGACCCTTCAGTCTGCAGGCCGACGCTCTATCCACTAAGCCAAACCGGTTAGGGCTTATTTGTTTTAAAATATATTTTTATTGATTTCAGAGAGGAAGGGAAAGGGAGAGATAGAAACATCAATGATGAGAATCATCTATTGGCTGCCTCCTGCACACCCCCTACTGGGGATCGAGCCAGATAGCCAGGCATGTGCCCTGACTGGAACTGTGACCTCCTGGTTCATAGGTCGACACTCAACCACTGAGCAACATGGGCCAGGCTGAATCTGCTTCTTAAATTCATCAGTTTCATCCATTTGTTGCTGTCTCCACTGTCCGGGTCTGACACTACCACTTATCTAGTCTGACACTCCACGACCACTTTTCTCCTGGATTAATCCATGGTCTCCAGTGAAGCTGGAATGTTATTTCTGACACATGATTCTCTCTGTATCAGTTCCAAAAGCTTCCAATCTTTAAGTGGCTTAAAGACTTCTGAAAAACACTGAAAATTTAGCTGATAGATCTGGTCTACCCTTACTTCCCCAGCCAGATCTTTGGCATTTCCAACTCTTCTTATTCACAATCTCCTCTCTTGCTTTCCCCTTGTCCTTCCTGTCTCTCCACCACTGACACTGTAGCCATTTATTGCAGTTCCTAGGATATGCCCTGCTCTTGCTCTCCCCAAAGCCTTCACTCAACACACTCCAAATCCCTTCTTTCTCATCCTTGTAAAGCAGAGGTACAGAACCTTTTTTCTGCCAAGGGCCATACAAAATTATCAACTTAAAAATTAGTCTGCAGCCAGAACCGGTTTGGCTCAGTAGATAGAGCATCGGCCTGCGGACTCAAAGGTCCAGGTTCGATTCCGGTCAAGGGCATGTACCTTGATTTCGGGCACATCCCCAGTGGGGGGCGTGTAGGAGGCAGCTGATTGATGTTTCTCTCTCATTGAGGTTTCTGGCTCTCTCTCCCTCTCCCTTCCTCTCTGTAAAAAATCAATAAAATATATATTTTTTTAAAAATTAGTCTGCAAGGCCATTATCAACAAGACAAGCAACAACAAGTGTTGGAGAGATTGTGGAAAAAAGGGAACCCTCATTCAGTGCTGGTGGGAATGTAGACTGGTACTATGGAAAGTACCTATGGAAAGCAGTCTGGTGATTGCTCAAAAAATTAAAAACAGAGCTACCATACGACCCAACAATCCCACTCCTGGGTATATACCCAAAAAACTAGAAATTTATACGCAAAGATACATGCACCCCTATGTTCACGGCAGCATTATTCACGGTGGCCAAGAATTGGAAACAGCCAAAGTGCTCTACAACAGAGGACTGGATAAAGATGTGGTATATATACACAATGGAGTATACTATACAGCCATAAGAAAGGATGAAATAGCATCATTTACAACATGGATGGATCTTGAGAACATTATGCAAAGCGAAATAAGTCAAACAGAAAAAGCTAAGAACTATATGATTTAACTCATATGTGGAATATAAAACTGAAACTTACGAACACAAACAGCAGTGTGGTGGTTGCCAGAGGGAAGGGGTGGGGGGGGAAAGGGGTTCTAATATAAGGTTACAGGAGAAGATTTGACTTTGGGTGGTGGGCACATGGTCCTATATACAGATTTTGTAAATTAGTAATCCACACATGAAACCTATATGTTCATGTTGACTAATGTCAACCCCAATAAAATTTTAAAAAATAAAAAGTCACTTTGGAGAAAAAAAATTAGTCTGCTATATTTGGTCAAATATTTAATTAACTCAACCCTAATGCCTTGGCAGGGCCAGACCAAATGTTATCATGGGACTTAAAAGGCCCTCAGGCCAGACGTTCCCCACCCATTTTAAAGGATCCACTGCCTTCATTCACCTCTGGAAAATCTCTGACCCTCCTCTTCTACTAGTTTAGGTTGGGTGTCTACTATATATCCAAAAACCCTTGATTTCCCCTTTAATAAACCTCTTTTGTGGAAAAAAATAAAAACTCCAAGTATTATGCCCTTTTCCCAATTATTTTATTAGTATTTCCTAAGAACTATAAACTCTTACCAAACATTATTTCAAGTAATTTTACAAAAACTACTGCAAGGGTACATAATACTTTTTCATTTTTTGCTTCTATAATGAGCAATGATGAAACTTCCATATATTATTGCCGAACATATTTCCTAGATGGATTCAAAGGGCATAAATACTTCTATAGCTCTTGACAGACAACACCCTGTCAGCTAAGCTTTCCACTCTTTAATTCCAACATATTACCTGCCAGCCCCATTATAAGCAAACAGCTTACTTTTTCTAAAAACAATTATACTGCATACAGTTAATAGCATGATCATTTATGTTAACTTTAAGGATATTTAAAAAATCCAGTAGTGCTCTGAGGGTACTTACTATCGAAGAGTTTAAGGGTCACTGTTAGAACGAAATACAAAACAGGTAATGTGCTGTAATATGCCCAGGATACACACAGAGGGACCAAAAGTCCTCTCTACACACATGGCGGGTGGTTGGTAATCTTCTAGATTCTTAGGGACCTATTTCTCCCCTTGTTTTCAAGGTTTTCTCCCAATGTTTGGACAGATACTATGAGTAGAGTAAAAGCATTACCAAAGGACCAAAAATAAAAAACCCAGTTCCTTTAAATCACCTCCTCTGAAACTCAGGAAGTCAGATTTCTGTTAAGAACCATTGGGGGTGGGGTGTTTGGAGGATTTTAGAGGCAGGGTCCAGGACCCACGGTTCCCCTGGTAAGTGATCCGGGACTCACCCTCAGAAACTGAACCACTGCCCAAATGTCCACCGTGGCCTGCTTTTTAAAATCACAGGCAAAGTTTCTTAGATTAATATGGTCAAGGCTCCCTTGATTCCAATATACACAAAGGGCTGTGTTTACTATACTGTGGCTCCAATATTTAAACAAAAGGTCAGGTAATTCATGGTAACCATCTCCTGGGTTCTTAGGGTTTACTCTAGTATTTCTCTTTTAGTTCAAAATCTTTGGTAGAACAGGTTTCCCTAAAAACAGTGCCTCCCATCTTACATTCACCACTCAGCAGTGCCTGTAGGACACACAGTGGCCACTAAATCAATCCACTGTGGATATTAAACATTAGCAAACATACCTCTACATTTTCTTTGGCAGGAGCTTCTCCTATTGGGACCAGCAATGGGATTTCTTCTTCAGATTCAACTTGCACTTTATTTTCGGTTTTTATTCTGCAGGTCTCTTTCTTCTCAGGCTTAGGGGTCCCTTTCTTCTGGGGTCCAGGGCCCTTCACTGGAGAACCACAAGTTTTAGAGGCCGTCTCCTCTGTAGGTAGGGCTGATGTAGACTTTCTACCCCGTTTCATAGGCTTTCTGTTTCTTTTCTTCTCCTTTCGTCTCGTTTTTTCTTTTAGTTTTAATATTCTCTTTGCTTCCTACCGAAAAACCAAAATTTTAGTAAGAGATACTTTAGTTGGAAAATAAATGACACTTGCAGTTCTGATTATTCATAAGCTCCCTGAAAGGGCCTTGGCCTGTACAAGCTCTGAGCAAACAAACCCCATTACCAGTACTTGAACCCCATCGCCACTTTGTTTCTGAGTCATGGCCACAGATGCATTTTATGTGGTAAATTATAGATAAGATACTCAAAATCTGGGTATCTGAGTTATGCAGTCACAAGTTTTGTGAAAGTCGATCTCATTGATAGGTGAGTTAAGAATTATACAGATTGCATAGTATGTGATATAAATTACATCTCAATAAAGCTAACAAAAACAAAAAAATCCCTGACCATTCTTTTCCTGCTTCAAGTTATGGTAGAAAGTTAAAAGAGTAAAAAGTTTACATAGCTAGAGGTACTTAATCCTTACCACAGAGTACTGTTAAATAACATCTATAATAGCATCCAAATTCCATTTTCACCAGCAATTCCAACATTTTTACAAAGCCCACAAATGACTCTGCTGACAAATGGCAAAAAAAATCCAGCCTTCTTGCTTCCTCTACTAGCAGTCTATATTATTTTGGATCACCCTTCCAATTAAAACAAAAAGGCAAGTTAAAATGTTTTTTAAAATTTTTCCAAAAAAGCATCGATAAGCTGATTATATTGTCAGAAATTAACGAGGGCACAATGAAGTAAGTCCAGAATCCACTTTGGCCCAGAGAGTATCTCCTAATCACTGACTTCTGTTTTAACCACCATGTGGGGAATAGGGGGTGGAGGTGGTGTATAAAGGGATATCAAATCCCAGCATCCACACTGGGCAGGGATTCTAGGAGGAACCCCTCTTCATGACCGATAAGCTGAGAGCCCATGAGTTCCACCCTCAGGGCAAAGATGAGCAGGAAGGAGTCCTACAACTTTAGCACCACGGTTTGATGCGCAAGCCTAAACTGAGAGTGCCCCAAGGTGCCTGGCAGATGTAAATGTCAGTCCTCCGGAGATAAGATCTTCTTCCTACACCTCAAGTCATTTCTACAAATAATTTTCCAAATGCCACAACCTTCAGTAATATGCTAATAAGACCAGACGTCAGGACAACCGTCTTCTGGACGAAGCAGGGGCTGCGAGGGAAGCCCGGGTCCCGGGTGCCAGAGGGAAGCCAGTGCTGGCAGCCGGGAAAAGAAAGGCCTGCTCTTGCACAAATTTTGTGCATCGAGCCTCTAGTTTCTAGATAACAGCAAACCAAAAAAAGCAAAGCCAATTTGAAGAAGAACAAAAAATGAAACTTCTGGAAGTAAAAAAATAAAAAGATCAAAATAAAAAAATTCATTGGACAAGATAAACATGGCTGAAGAAAAAATGAACAAATGAGGAGATAGACCCAACAAAGAGCAAAAGTTTCAATTTTCTCTCATTTTGGCTTCTTTTTTGCTCACCTGAGGATAGTTTTTCCATTGTGTGTTTGTTTTTTTTTTTAAGAAAACGGGAGGGGAGAGAGAGGGTGGGGAGAGAGAGAAACACCGATGTGAAAGAGATACATTGATTGATTCTAGTGGGCAACCGAGGTAGGTGCCCTTGACCAGGAATCGAACCCACTACCTTTTGGTCCGAGGGCCGATACTCTAACTACTGAGCAACTGGCTAGGGCTCATTCTGGTTTCTTTTGCAATAGTACCTATTAGCACCAAAAACCTACCAACCAAAAACAAGAGGTACGTGTTAGCCTAATAGAATCTTAAATTTTGCCCATAAACACCAATGAACCTAAACTAAATTTTGGATTTCCCCTCTTAGCTCATCTTGCCAATGAATAGGTCCTTTTAAAGCCTAATTAGGCCTTTGACGAGAAATTAAAACACCTACCTTATTATAAATCTATGTCCTACTGTACTTTATTAACTAATCTCATAGGTAAAGAGGGAACAATGAACACAAAACCACAGTCACTGAAAACTACTGCAAGACAAAAGCCAGGCAGAAATGGCAACCTGGTTCTCTCTTCTGGGCAGCATTTACATCCTTGACTAAGTCTACCCAGTACTTAAAATTCTACTTACTTCTTTCTTCAGTTTAGAAATGTTCACTCCTTTAGCTTCACCCCAACTGCTGACAAATGAAGAAAAGATAGGAAGGGAAACTGATCTCTCAGTTTTCACGTACAAGAGTTTCACACTCTCCCACTTCTGAAACAAACAAAAAAAGAGTAATGTAATCTACACATGCTTTGTGTCTTTTAAATGAACGATCAATAGATGCATCTGCAAGACTATACCTCTGGCAATTTCTGTGAAAGCTTTTTCGTAACAGCAAGAATGTTTTCGATGATGTGCTGAACCTGCATTCCAGTGTGACCGATGCGGATAGTGCTGAAATTTAAGAGTTTCAGACAAAAACGATTTTTAAAAATAATTCTTCAAAATAAGGCATAGGCAGGTATGTGAGAAATAGAAATATACAGACCTAAAAAGGAAAACAGGTCCAGGAATCAGCCCACAGCTTTTCTGAGGACAACTACCTCTAGTAGTGACTGTTTTGAAAGGAATGATTCCTGGAAGGGTTGCTTGCTTTGCTGTCTTTAGAGTTCCACGGCCCTGACCCAGCTGCCACCTCTAAAACAAAAAGCTCTCCTCCCTCCTACAGTATCAGTCTTCTGGCAAAGAGCAAGACCATCCCTTCATTTGAAACAGAGTGCAGACATAAGCCAAGTGGGAAGCCCAGAAGTGCCGAATGCTCAGCCACTTTCCCTGCCAGTCCCCATCCTCCCTACCATGGGAGCCAAAAGGGCGGTGTCTCAGAAGCAGGGTGAGACAGGGGCTGGTGCCCCCACCTCCCTCCAGGCAAAGGGGCTTTGATCACCTTCTATGTCTGCTGCCGCCTACCTGCAAGCACACTCTTGGCTTTGCAGGTGGAAAAATAGCAGGAGGGAGGGGGAGAGGAGGGAGGAAGAGGGGTGGACATAAGGGGAGGGTGGGAAGGAAGATAGAAAACAACTGTGTTAGGGAAGGGTAAGAATGGAGATAAAAGAATGATTATGTTTTTGTATTGTTTTTATTAGCTCTCCACCATGTTTCTTAAGCTCTGGACTTGGCTTGGAAAAACCTTAGAGGCAGAAGATTTCTACTCCTTTATTGGATGCATGGTGCTGTCCCCTTTTCACAGCTACTCACCAATCCCATGAACCAGGCCTCAGACCTTCTAGCTAACTGCTTCCCATGAGCCACTACTCTTATGTCAGCCTATAATGAAAAAGTAGGGGCCAGGCCTGATGAACAACTCTTCTCAGTTACCTAATGACACTCAAATAAGGGACTTCCCACCTGAAGGCAGAAGGCAACATCAGAGCCCACGTGTTTTGCCCAAATTCTGTTCTGCCATACCTGGAACCACTCTGCCAAGGACTATCCTCCCTGGCGTGTGGTCAAGAAACCCTGGTGATACTATTTTATGGTCTGTGTGACCACTACATACACATGGGCTCCTGGGCATCTTTGGGAGAAAGGACCATACTCTACAGCTCTACACTACTGGCCGCAGCCCATCCCCACACCACAGGTGACCAAATCAGCAGACTAAGTATTTTATGAGATAATTTTGAATATGTTTAAACCAAGACTGAAGTAGGTCTTCACATTAAAGGATAATATGATGCTGGTCAACATGAAAGCCCAGAACTATATGGATGTTCTCTAAGCATTTAACCTCATTCTCCCTGCTATCCTTAACCTAGAGGTGCCCTATCCAATATGGTAAGCATTAGCCACACGTGTCTATTTAAATTAATTAAAATCAAATAAAATTAGAAATTTGGTTCGTCAGTTATAGTTCCCACAATGCAAGTGCTCAACAAGCACATATGGCTAATAACTCCTGTAGGAGACAGCAGGGATACAGACCATTTCCATCTCTGTAGAAAGTTCTATGGGATAGCATTGTTCTAGAGAACTGAGTATGTCTAAGGAATGGATTTTAGTTTTAATAGAAGGATCTGGTTTCATTAGCACTATCTTATAAAAAATGTTTATAAAAATCATTATTAAGTATAAGATTAAACACATGTATACATTTACCTACCTGCAAGAACCACTTTTAGAGATGTTTAAGACAGTTCCACCTATTGATGAGTTGATTTCTTGGGAAAGATTCTTGGCTTTCAGATTGACAGGTATTGGAACTCTGTAACGACACAGACATTTAGAGTACAATGCATATACACCTATAAATTCTGTGATGCTCAAGTCCAGTCATTGCTCAGAAACTTACTTCTTTCTCTTATAGAAATGTCTCCCGAGGTGTGAGGGTAAGAGCCGCCGGATTCTTGCATCAGAAAGGAACAAGTCGAAACTACCCAGGAGGCGGAGCTTGGCCTCATAGGCTTTATACTCCTTTTTTAAAGTTCGGAGGGGGATAATCTAGAAAACACAGAACACAAAAAAAGAATATGAACAACTACAAGAAATACTCAGGGAACAATATGTATTCAGATTTTAAAATGTCCTTGAGCCAGTTTAGTGAACACGTGAGTGCCTAAAATGCACCAGGCACTATGCTAAATGCCACGAACATGGAGACAAATAAGATGGGACGACCTCAGCTAAAGAAATGACACCAACAACTGTAAGACAGGGTGAGAAATGCCAAGTCAGAGGCAAACACAGGATGCTCCAGAAGTTCAGAGTAAATGACCTAATGGAACAACTGTTTGTAAAATCTTCAAGAAAGGTGTACACAGTGAGCTTGTGGATCAACAAATCTGGACAGCTGAGCCATCAGATGAAAGATGGAATATGTCCTACCTAAAGCCAAGGAGAATTAAGTTAAAAAGAAAAAAGTTAAAATTAAATTCCTAGGAGAGAAATACTAGGTGATACAGCCATGCATTATTTTTCGCTTCATTTGACTCAAATCTTTTCATTATCTTGAAAATATTAACTGCTCCCTACCTGAGAAATGGTTTTTATTCCATGCTTGTTTAGAAGCTTCTTATAAAAATGTTCCGTCTTTTCAGGAGTTGCATTGGGTTCGTCCTTAGTAAATAAGCAGACATCTGCTAAATCTGATCGAATACCATGAGGCAAGGGCCTGCAAAATACAGAAGAAACCACGGAATAAAACATTATTGTACAGAGAAAGTGTTTATACGCCATAGAATACACAATCAATTTACTGTCATTTCAGTAAACTTCACTCACACTATTTAAGTAAACACTACAGGGTGCTTCCCCCAAATGTGAATAATTATAAAGGCAGTATTTATTAAAATACATTTAATCTTCAAAATTGAGCTATCAGCTGTTAAAGTGTGTATATGTTCTCTATATTGAGAACATTTTAAAAATATGTCTGACTTTCAATAGCACAGAGATTTAAGATGGAAGTCACCACAAATACCCATAGGTCAAAATATCAATTAATATTTGGGATAGAATAAGAGTTCAAATACAAAGACACCCAGAATAGTGCATATATAACTATTATTTCATATGTTACTATATGTGTACACATCCTATAATGTGCTAGAATCGATTTCCAGCAGGGCAGATCTGATTTAGAAATTACCATGGAGAAAACTCTGGGCTCCATAAACAACAGAGCTCTTAAGAGCTGAAAAGAAAATATGGAGCAAACCAAGAGGGACCAAGAGACATGCCATGATTACTAGGCTGTGTTAAAAAGAAAAGGAAAAAAAGGTTTAATGCACTTCCTAGGCCTGTATGTTTTAAGGAAACAGTTCCTTTGTTTAAGAAGAGATAGTAATACACAGTAGTAGCATGACCTGGCAAACGATGTGGGAAGAACTGTGAAGCTGGTAAGTGACAAAAATCACCAAAAAGGTGTGAGCAGCTGGGGAAAATATTCCAGAGAAAGTAAGGGGGCTTTCCCAAAGGGAAAACTGCCTGAGCAAATGTATGGAAAACAGAATGCAGGAGGAATACATAAAGCAGTAAGTAAGGGAAGCTGGCTGAGGCAGGTTTGTAAACATTACTTATTGAAGGGTTTGAGGATCAAAAGGTTCTTTCCAATTTGTAATCATTCTTGGTCCCTCCTCCCCTTCCCAGAAAAGAAACTAACTACCCTATACACTGCTTTCTTTAGCACAGCTGGCTTTTTGATACTCAGGAAATGAGGGACTCCACAGAAAGGCAGTGTTGTCAGATAGAAGACAGCACACCCAGTTACATTTTAATTTTTTTAAAAAGAGGTCCCAAGTATTACCTGGGACTTACTTATACTAAAAAATTACTTGTGTTTTTATTTATTAAGTCTGGCAATTGCAGAGGTGCATCTCTGAACTAAAAGTCCTAGCAATGAGAATGCGTAATTGCCATTGGTTTCTTTTCTATAAGTTCACTGCCAAGTTTTAAATAGTGTCTGTATAAAGAAGCGAGTTCAGCCTGGCTGGTGTTGCTCAGTGACAGGAGGTCACTGGTTTGATTCCCAGTCAAGGCACATGGCAGGGTTGCAGGCTCAATCCCCAGCAAGGGGCTGCTGATCGATGTTGATATTCTCTCCCATCAATGTTTCTATCTCTCTAAAATCAATAAAAACATATTTTAAAAGAGGCGAGTCTAGGACATCAGGGGTTTTAGCTTGGAAGTAGTTTGACATGAAAAGATGACAGATTCTATTAAAGTACAAAAGCTGTTCAATTTATTCTAACTTTTGTTCTCTCAAAAAATAGATTTCGTATTCAATAGAACTGCTTAGGTTAATTGTCCACCAGACTGGGGAAATTTCTAAAAAATTTAAGCTTGTCTGAATTCCTCTGTGTTTTTTGTAAAGCACAATTATTTGTATCAACTCAGATTTTTATTTTGAGTTAGCAAAGTTTACACTAGAAACTAAATCACGACTGTTAACACTACACAGAATTGACTGATTAAAACAGCAAAGGCAGAAAACCAGAACTTACAATCTGACCCTCAGTTCTTTACTTGGAATTTTCCATAATACCACCATTAAAAAGAAATTTTCATTCTCATTCAAAAGCAATCCATTCGCGTTTTTCCTGGACCTGGAATGGGTCAACAGAGTTTTCACTGCCTTTCTGGTCTGTAAAGTGAAGATAGACAAGTAAATTAAATCTCAATCCAATTTAGCATTTGCCCTCTTCCTACAGCTTTTACCTTTTTTCCCCTGCTCTATTTCTAGTTTAACAGGCAACCTCCAAAACCATAGCTATTAGGATCCTACAATTTGTAGTCACAGGAATGCAGAACCCTATCAGAAATCACCTGAGTATCCGTTCGTCTGCAGAAAAGTGCCAGATGGCACATGCTTCCTCCCCCGCCCGCGATGATGAAGGCAGTGATCCCAGTAAACGCGCATCACACTGCAACTAGCATTCAGTGAGCGCTGACTGTACGCCAGGCCCTTGGCTACAGCGCCGCACGCGCATTGCCTCCTCTAATCCTGGAGAGCGGAGGGCAGCAGAGCCCATTCTAAATACGAGGTAACCGAGGCTTACAAAATTAAACGACTTGGCCACAGTCAAACGGTAGGGAAGTAGAGCCAGGTACACCTCGCTCAAGAATCCCAAGCTATATACCTGCATTCCAATTCAAGAGAGCCAGGCCGCAGGGTCGGGGTAAGCGAGCGCCTACCCGTGCGCATGGAAGGGCGGGCAGGCCGAGAGTACCGCGACCAGTGACCCTCAAATCTTCGGGGAATCGGAGGAAGCGCGAGCCCGTCTCCATCACGCCGCGCACCACAAGGCCAAGGCCACCTCACTTCCGAATCCCCCTCCCAGAGGCCTCTCACCTGCTCTTCATCCAGCTGCCCTAGTGCGGCCGGGGTTGCTGAGGTCGAGGCTGGAGTTGCGGTTGAGGCTGGGGTTGCGGTTGAGGCTGCGGGTGGTGTTGAAGCGGAGTCCTCCATTTCTTTCCGCCGCGTGCAGACTCGCGTGCGGAACACCACACCTGGCTCCCCAGGCGCATGCGCGAGCCCAGGCCTGTAGCCGGAAGTTAGGGAGCGTGGGGCGTGTCCTCGCGTCACTTCCGGGCGTCGCGTCGTAGAGGTTTGGCGGGCGCGAGCAAACTGAGTGTGTGGCTCCGCCTGTAGTCGGAGTCTCTGAGGTGACAACTCCCCGTGTTTCCGTGAGGCTCGGGGAGCAGCCTGGCGACATTTTGGTCTCTCTCGTTCACAAAAGACATCGAGCAAGCTCCTGGAGGCGGGAGAGGAGGCCTGTCCATGCACCCAGTGAGGTCACCCGCTCTCCGTGGACCCCGCCTTTGGGCAGGCCCCGAGGGGCGTGAGGAGAGCGGGGCGTTCTGGCCCCACCACCCACCTGTCCGGTGACTTTGGGGGAACCACTGACGCTGTCCAGCCAGTCTCCTCCAACACGAAGGTGGCGGGAACCTCCCCACCGCTGGTGAGAATTACGTGGAATCAGGCGCGGGAAACACCGCGCGCGTCGTTAAACGGTGGGGGGCCCCGAACGAGGAGCCAGAGCCTCTGAGGTGGGAGGTAAGAGCGTCCACACCGAGCGTGCAGCCTGGAATGCGGCGGAATCTCCCCCCGCCCCGCTTCCCCAGAAGTGACCACTGCCCCTTGGAACCTGCCAAGGGTACTCAAGGCATGTTTACAAAATAGTTGTAATTTTTCTCTCTCTGTATGGCTGGTGTCATTTTTTCTCTTTGTGTGTGGCTGGGTTTGGTCTTTTTTTTTTTTTTTAACAAGTGTAGCCAAGTCTACTTATTGTTTTGTACGTTGACTTTTTCTCTTTCTCTCTCTTTACATTGATGTGAGAGAGAGACACATTGCCTGGCTGTCTCCTGTGCGCGCCCCCAGAGTGAACCAGCAACCCAGGTAGTGAGTGCCCTTGACCTGGAAGAACCCGCGACCCTTGGGTGCGCGTGGCCACGCTCTAACCACTGGGAAACACGGGCCCGGGCGGTTTTTTTCTCTTAATGTGTCTTGGAGGTTGGCCAAGTCAGTACAGAATGCTCTGCCTCATCTGTTTTAACTCGGAATGTCCTTCCAGCATGTAGATAAAAAATAGTTTATTTGGGAGTTTTTCTTCGTTGTTTTTGTTTTTTCTTTTTAGGAGCTTTTCAATGGACCTTCAGGATGGATGGTTGTAGTCTTTTTGGAACTAGCTGTGGAAATGTTTGAGAGAGAAGGAATGAGAGGAGACGTTTTTCTTTTGTTTTTGTTTTTTCTTTTTAGGAGCTTTTCAATGGACCTTCAGGATGGATGGTTGTAGTCTTTTTGGAACTAGCTGTGGAAATGTTTGAGAGAGAAGGAATGAGAGGAGACTTTCCATATCAGTTGTTTTCCCCCCAAAAATGCTCCTTCCACATTGCCAAAGGTGGAGGAATGGGGTATTTGGCTGATCTCTAATAATGACTTTGTCTTCGATCCATTTTAGAAGAAATTTTCTTAAATCTCTGTTACTTACTCTCACTTATCTATTCTAGAATCTAGTGTAAGGTGAAACTAGTTTGAGCACAAGATTATGAATTGTTACATTCGGCTTCATTTATCAGTTTTTCTAGTATGTGTTAAGAGCCTTAGGGCGGTCAGATGTGTCGCCTGCATTCAAGTTTGAGAACCAGGCTGGTAGGCCAGGGGAATGGTATGAAGACAGGAGAAGGTGCACGGTGGTGTTTGCAAGTAGTAAGTAGCGGGATCAGGAATGTGCAGAGGGGAGGAATGGGAGATGAGGCTAGAAGAGTAGGTTAAGGAATTTTTGTTGTCTAGCTGAGGGTTTATACTCTGGAGGAATCGTACAAGGTTTTTGAACTGGTGCTAAGAAAAGAAGAGGAGGTGGTGATGAACTGTGCTTTAGGAAGGTTAATAATTTGGATGTGGTATTGTGGTGGTTTAAAAAATGTCATGCTCACAAATTCTTTGATATTGAGTGTGGGCTGGACTTAATGACTTGGTTCTATCAAATAGAATGTAGCAGAAAGGATGTCACTTCTGAGATTAAGTTATAAAGACTATAGTTTCTGCCCGGAGTGTTCTTTTTCCCTCCATCTCTCCTGCTCTCTCTTTCCTTCATATTACTTGCTCTGAGTGAAGTTAGCTACCGTGTCTTAAGGCTCCTCAAGCAACCTGCCAGCAACCATGTGAGTGAGCTTGGAAGTGGATTCTTCCTCAATCAGACCTTGAGATAACTTCAAAGTCTTGAGAAACCCCGAGCCAGAACCATTTAGCTATGTTGCTTCCAAATTCCTGACCCATAAAGTGATTGTAACTGCAGAATCAGTTCAGACAGGCTCTGTCCTATTTCTAACAAGATATTGAGTTGCTTTTCAGAGACACAAACCAAAACCACAAGTCATGCAGCTGAAGCATGTTCAGAGGAGACAATTTGACCTCTAGTTGCACCCAGAACCAAAGCTGCCCTTCCCCCCACCTCCCAGAACAAAACGACTGGGACATGACCAAAACTTGAACTCTGGAACCCTTTCAGAAGCAAAGGGTCGGTTGTCCCAGGAAGATCTGGTGCTGAAGCCCCTTACCATATCTTTCAACAAATGGCCAAGGTCCAAAGCTCTTCAATCAAAACTTGCCCTGCCAGTGCTTTTATATACCAGTCTTCTTTCTCCTAACCTCTTAAAACTCACCTGGATTAGAAGAGATTTGAGCCTTGTTTTCTGTCTCCTTGCTGGTGACTTCACAATAAAACATTTTCTCAAAAGCCAATGTCATAATATTGGCTTCTGTATGCAATGGGCGGCCAGTCCTTGTTTAGTAACAAGATAATGTTTTGTTTAGTTTTTTAAGTATATTTTATTGATTTTTTTACAGAGAGGAAGGGAGAGGGACAAAGAGCTAGAAACATTGATCAGCTGCCCCCCACACACTCCCCACTGGGGATGTTCCCGCAACCAAGATACATGCCCTTGACCAGAACCGAGCCGGGGCCCCTCCAGTCCGCAGGCCGACGCCCCATCCACTGAGCCAAACCGGCCAGGGCAAGATAATGTTTTTTAAGCCGTTGAGTTTGGGGTGATTTGTTATCCCTCAACAGATAATAGAAATTTGCAGACCTCCCATCTTGAAACTCATCAACCGTTGATGTAGAAGTCCTATTAGAGCTTCATACTCAGCATTCGAGCTCATTATCTTTCCCTCGAAGTGCTCCTTCTGTTTTCTCTGTCATTGGCACCCCCAACAGCCTAGTTGCCCAGAATATGGGAGTTAATCTTTTCTCATCCCCCAAATATAGTCAATAATAAAATCTTGTTTATTCCTATTAAATATCTCTTGAACTTATCCCTTCTACGTAGTAGTGTAGGGCATCATTTTTTTCCTCCAGTTTTGCATCTTGTAGTCCATTCTCTGTCCTTCAGTTGGAGTGATCTTTGTAACATCCAAAGTCATAAACAGTGCTTGTAAAGGAATACTACAGGTAGTTATATTAGAGCCAATGGTGATAAAGGAAAACTAAATACAGGGAGTCCCAAAAAAATGTACACACACTTAACAGCTGATAGCTCAATTGATGTTTCTTTCTTCATATTTAACCTGTTGGAGTGAATAGTTATTCAAAGTGTATATATACATTTTGGGGGGACACCCTGTGTAAGTATCTTGAACCAAATATGTGAATTACTCCTTTTTGTTGTTAATCCCCCTTTGAGGATATTTTTCCATTGATTTTTTTTCAGCGAGTGGAAGGGAGGGAGAGAAACAGAGAGAAAGAAACATCGATGTGAGAGAGACACATTGATTGGTTGCCTCCCACACACACCCCGACCAGGGCTGGGAATCAAGCCTGCAACTGAGGTACATGCCCTTAACTGGAATTGAACTTGGGACCCTTCAGTCTGTGGGCTGACGCTCTGTTCACTGAGCCAAACTAGCTAGGGCAAAATACTTTTTTAAAAATCCTCATCCAAGGATTTTTAAAAAATATATATTTTATTGATTTTTTACAGAGAGGAAGGAGAGAGATAGTCAGAAACATCGATCAGCTGCCTCCTGCACATCTCCCACTGGAGATGTGCCCGCAACCCAGGTACATGCCCTTGACCGGAATCGAACCTGGGACCTTTCAGTCCGCAGGCCGACGCTCTATCTACTGAGCCAAACCGGTTTCGGCGCCAAGGATTTTTTGTTGTTGATTTTAGAGAGGGAGGGGAAGGAGAAACATTGATTGGTTGCCTTCCGAATGTGCCCCCACCTGGGATCAAACCTACAACCTGGATATGTGCCCTGATTGAGAATAGAACCCGACTTCAGTGTACTCAGGATGATGCTCCAACCAAGCCACACCAACCAGGGCATGAATTATTTTTAAAAAATTAATATGTACGGACTAAGACTCTTGGGAAGAAAATAAGGTAATTAGAGCATACACTTCTAATGGCCATCGTTTATTCTAGATTGGGAGGTATATAGTTCTTCACTACAAATCTACAGTATCCAAGGTATTGATGCTGTTTTTCAGAGAACGTCTCTGAAAGGGGTCTCATGGGTCAAGAAGTGTAAAATTCTCTACCATCAGTTTTCTGCTCACTGCAGTACATTGCCTATGTATGGTTGGATGCCCAAACACATTTAAGAAAGTTGTTTTTTCAACAACAAACCCAATGTTTGATGGACTGAGTTGGAGAGCTGGCCATTGAAAAGTGTGGGAAATGTCAAACCATTTATTTAGAACTTTCACATGAACCCCTGCTTTCATGGCAAACTTGCTCATAAGTTTTAAGCTAAGATTCATTTAATGTCAAACACCCATACTAGATATTGAGGAGCAAAACCCTGAAGTGATTGCCTTCACCTAATGTTAAACAAGAACTCATCCTAACTCCATAATAAAAGATGAGTATATACGGAAATGTATAATGCCTGTTTATCAGTAATTTCTTTTTGCCTTTCTACTGTAAAGAAGGACAAGTACTATATGGTCTCTTGATCATTATTTAAAATTCTGAACAATAGAAGTTTGTAGTTTTGGCAGAATCATTGATGTTCCCTCAATTCTGTTCACATAAGCCACATACTGTTATATAGTTAT